CCTCGCGCGGACGCAGGGCTGGGTGGCGGGCCAAGAGGACGCCCGGGGTCGCGGACACACACACACACACACAACAGTTCCTGGGGTCCCTCCCGCCGCTGCTACTGCTGAGCGCCAGATGGTGGCGGCAGGGAGGGTCCGCGTCGCGCCCTTGTGGACAGAGGCCTGTGGCTGGTTACTCATCCTGGTAAACCAAAGGCATTACGGTGATCTCAGAATATTTTTGGTCTCTCTACAAATTATCGTTATATGGTAGCACTTTTCTAAGCTGGAATCTCAAACCAAAGGCACTTCCATGCTAGAGCGCAGAAGATTCATAAATAGCTAAGTATTTGGTCGTGAATTGAAAAGGCAACTTTAAAAGTACAATTTGCTTTTCATAGTAAACTACGAAGTTGGAAAACCTTCCGTTTTGGTATATACATTTGAGAGTGCGGTCGAAGAACCGACTCGTGTTCAGTTTCCGATTTTAGACCAAGTGGTCAGTGTCCTATAGAACTGGAGGGAAAAAATGGGCTTACAAAAGAGAAATGAGAACAATTTTTGCCTGTGCAGTTTCAAATACGGGGCCAATTAGTAAATGGACGCGGAGGGCTCGGTATGACTAGGTAATCACTAAGGCACTGCTTACTGGAACGCTTTGGCAGCTCTGAATTTAAAACTCCCTAAAAAAGCAACAGTAGTAAGAGAAATGCTTCCAGCTTACAAAAGGGCTCACAGTTCCGAGGCAGCCTTTTGCACTGCACACCCTACACGCAACGTCTCAAAGATTTAAGGCTTTTCAGAAATGACAGGTGCAGGGCTTTGCCACAGAAACATCAACAGAAAGAAAGAAGCAATGCAGACATATGCTCTCAGTGTCACAGGTGTGAACGCCAACACAAGAATCGGTTCCACCCTTCGTGAGGACAGGTGTAGGGTACCAGACAGAGCATATACAAACTTAGACAAATCATGTGTACCTGGTTTGTAAGATTGACTGTCATCTCAGACGATTTAAATAATTTATGGTTGTACAAAAACAGACTGCTAAAGCCACTACAGAATTGAGACCTAAAGAAGACTTGGGTTGAAGTCATCTGGGGACTTCTCACACCAAGTGCTGGGAACGGGGGCTGCTTTTTGGCTGGTCTGAGTGTGGGACAGGGCGGCTGGGTTGCCTAGCAGATAAAAATTAGACTCGGAGTCTGTGGCAGGTGCATTGTCCTCAGGGTAAGCGAAAAGGCTCATCAGCTTTCGTATCTGCTTGTGGCTGCCTCACGTAGCTCCAACCAGACCAGAGGCTCCGTGGGGGAAGCGGCGTCAGCATCGGGGCGATGCCGTGCTCTGGCTGAGGGGGTTCTTAGTGCCCCCTCTCTTCTGCACTGAGCCTGTGCACACCTTCGTAGGGATCTTTGAAGCATGAGCACCAAAGAAGAACAACTTGCACTGGGAGAGGCCAAGGATTAAGTGGCGAGGTCCCAGAGCCTCACCCTGGTTGTGTCACTGACCAGCTGGGTGACTCTGGGCAAGTCACCTCCCCTCTGGGCCTCAACTTTCTCATCTGCTAAATGAAGGAGGGTAGTTTGTGCTCTCTTTTAGCTCAACAAAGAAATATCTATCAGCCCGCTGCCAGAACTGGTCCCTCTCGCCTCCATCCTTAAAGAAGCGGTGTTCCAAAGGCTTCCATAAATTCTAAAAACAGCACTGAGTGTAGGGCAGAAAGCAGAAGACCGGAGTAAGTTTACCGAAATGATGAAAGCTTTGATCGTGAGACCCAGATGCTTATGAGAATCGTGAATGTAGCTGTGACTTCTTTTAAAGCTGGTAAACTAAGGAATAAAGATCAAATCACAGATACACCTTAACATGATTATGGGGATGATGGTGACCAGCTCTTCCCCACATCCCCGGGGATGAATGAAGGAATCCTCTGTAGCCAGACAGACTCTGCCGTGAAAGAAGCTCCGAAGGGGAGGAGACCGGGACATAATGTCATTTGAGGAATATTCCTACCTGCCTCTTCACAACCTGAAACAAGGCTCCCAGGACAGCAGCTTTTTTGGAGCAAAACGGAAGGGAACAAGAAAATCTCAAATATGGTATTTGTGACCTCTAAGATCTAGGGCAGTGGTTCTCAACTGGGGGTGATACTGGGCTCCATGGGACCTGTGGCAATGTCTGGAGATAGTCTGGGTTGTGGCACCAGCAGGGAGGGCATGGGGGAGCCCATGGGGACACTACGCAGGATCATCCCGCAGAACAAAGAACTGCTCCCAACTTGTCAACAGTGTCGAGGCTGAGAACCCCTGACTTAGAGTAGCATAGACCTGGGATTCCAGAACCTGTTCTGAAGAAGTCCTGATAGTAATTTTAGGTCTCTTGCTAAGATGGAAACGAATGCCTACTGACTAGAGTCCAGTTCTCCAGCTCTCTCCTGTGTCGGCTATGGAAGATGGGCCTCCACACTCCCCAGTAAAAGTACGAGATGCCCCTGACTCAAGGCTGGTAATGCAGGGTCGCCAGGAGTTCCGGCACCCAAAAGAAAGCTACAAAAGCTGTAAGGACAGAGGCCTGGAAAGCCTTCTTTATGGTTCTGGGAAGCTTGACAGCTGAAGGGAGAAGACTGCGACAAAGGAGGAAAGACCACAGACAGACTTGGATTAGGTGCTGCAACACGAACCCCACCCCAGCACCTAACTTGGCAGAGACAGAGAGAGGGCCAAGGGTTTGGGTAACTGGATCAGTGGTTAAGATAGGGAAAATATCCACCCTGGAGAAAGTTTTAGAAGAACAAGATGAGAAGTAAAACTTTTAAGGCTCTTAGAAATGTTTTTAAGAGCAAAAAGCAATCCTCCAGGTTGTTCACGTAAATGCCCCAAACTCAGCTCCGAAGGCATTTGGGGGAGGAGGGCACAGCCTGCCTCCGTGGGCTCAGCAGACCAGGGTATGCCCTTCCCTGTAGCCAACAGAACCAACCCTCCAGCTGCTCTTCTTGGGTCTATTTGTGCTTTGAAAAGTAAATCCCAAGAGTCCTCCTGGCAGACAGAAGAGCCCCATTCCTGTGTGGGAATGTGAATCAGATACTTCTCTCACTGAAGTTCTGGCTGGCTCTGGCCACAGAAGATCCTTTACCCCCCTTCATAGGGTCCTGGCCCTGGGAGAGTGGGGTTTCCATTGAGGAAAGACGCGGGAGACAGGAGTGAAAGAAACATCCCTAGGAGGGGTGCCCAGGAGAAGTCATTAAGTATGATGACCACAGAAGAAGCTTCAGTGCCTGGGCGGAAGGCCAGATGGAAGGGCAGACAACTAGGGCAATCCTTCAAAGGCCCCCTTAGAGTCAGAGAATAAATGTTAGTTTCTTTATGGAGGGAAGACAGACATCAGCCTACTGGTTTAAATGGGGGGTGTGCGTTCCAAGTGGGAGAAGTTTTGCACTTTCTCCTCTGGTCTTTCCAGGAACCAGTGGCATGAGTTTGGGAGAGGTCAGGCTCCGTCCGGTGGCCTCCTGTCTGCCACAAGCCAGCCACACCCTCGTGGCCCGACCGCCAGACATTCTAATCAATATCCAAGCAGGGTCAGAGCAGGTGGTGGGACAGGGAAGCGGGTAAGTTACTTGGATGTGAAAGAACACGGCATTTCTTTTCTGGCTTGATGAAAAAGCCACGATAGGCTTCACAACTTACAAAACTTATTTCATGTTCTATTGTGTTGACCTATTCCTGGCAATTATAAAAATGTCACTTTCCTCCGGGAAGCTGGGGAGTATAACCCTGTCTCCCTCCCAATGAAGCACTTATGGAAATAACCCAAGACACGTGGCCACTTCAAACCAACTCTGCCTGGGCAATGCTTTGGAATATTTGGGTTGGAAAGTTGAATTTCTTCTGGGAAGAGAACCTTCCAGATGAGTCTGTCTGAAAAAAGTCAGAGAGAGTGCCGGGCCTCTCAAACCTCAGTCAAACAAGTACTGTGACTTATTGAGAGATGTTGAGCAAACAGACGTCCTTTGAGAATATATTTAGATCTATGGACACAGGTTGAGATATACATACGTATCAGCACCTAGCAAACTGGTGACACTGAATAGATGTTCAATAAATATGTGTTTAACAACTATATGTGTCTATGTGTGTGGATGTGTCCACGAACACACATGTACACACATAGTTAGAGCAGGTTAATATGCACACTGGTTCACCAGAAAGAATTCATCCACAGGCTGGTGAGGATGCTTGCAATTTTCCAGGGAGCAGAGATGCTAAAACTGATGAGCCTTTTACTTGTTTGGTTGATGAAATTTCTCCCAGCCACAGGATTTTTCTCTACTTTGCAGCTCACAGTGCAGTATTCATGCCAATTTTAAATTTTTGTTATTAAATTTCAGTGGTTCAAACATTTACTCATCTTAGTAAAAAATTTGGTTGTCCAGAGACAATGTAACTGCACACACAAGACTATAAACATTGTACGTTTAGATTTTCAGTATTTATCTACTTATTGCAAAAAGAGCCATCTTTTTTTTTTCATTAAATAATCATCACATTAGTACAATGCAATTTCATATTTTTTAAATATACTATATATGTTAAGGATAAGGGGTGAAGTTTTCTTCCTTTGTAATACCTGTTCAAGAGTTTAATGGATTAAGAGATTAGTTTTCACGTTGAGGAAAAAAAAAAAAGTATAAATTTGTCTCATTAGAATATTTCTACCAAGCATTTAAGGCTATATTTTAACATTTGGTTTCAAAAAGAAAGAAAAGTTTCATTTAAAAAATAATTTAGTGAATTACATTCTTTCATAACTTCCACCCTAATTAGTTACAAAGATAAGTCTAAAGATTCTTAGTTTTGTGTACTAATTTACATTTACATTTAAAGATTAATTTTACTTGTATCTTAAGACAAGAATTTTACGTTGGGAAAAAAAAAAAAAAAACAGAACTAAATACATTTGTATAAAGGCTGTAAATGCCCCATGGCAAATGCTCTGTTTCAAAATTTTTTTTTCCTACCACAATTAGAAACGGGTCTCTGCAGACAGAGGAGACCCAGGTTCTTAAGGGTCACCTTTTCCCGAGGAATTGTGGGCTGCGGATGTGAAGAACACATAGAAACCACTCAGATTTCTCTTTTTACAACTGTACCAGAACTTCACAGCTATAATGATAGTATGAACACATGAAAAAAATAATGACTTCACTCAAACAGGATTTAGAAAAAGTCAGGGTGTCCTCAGGGCCAGGGCACACCCCTCTGTGGCGAGGTTTACAGTCAGTCATTCAATAATGGAGACAGTGTGTGTGTGCGCACATGGGTGTGTGTGTGTGTGTGTGTATATATACAGATATCTATATATAAATAACCATGTTCAGTCCTTTACAAGCCTGTAAATATGATGTTGTGCTCCATGTTCACTATTTGAAACTTCAAATACACAGGCCATGCAGAGGAGAGTTTCTTGTGTGTCCCTGTTTGTTACCACCTGTTAAAAAAAAAAAGTATATATATATATATATACACACATACACAGAGAGAGAGAGAACACCACGCGGATGAAAACACAGTCCACTGTGCTATGGCAACTAGGAGTTGCTTGGAGAAGGACAGGCTCAAGTCCAGCAGGGAGACTACCACAGACGTCCCAGCCTCACGCTGCCCCCCTCCAGCACAAACTCAGGATAATTATGGGTCTGACCTGAATCCTAGCTGAACTTAGTTACCGTGTGTAAGAAATACCTCATGGACAGGGTCTCACCCATAATGCGAGGCCACAAGAATTAGTGTGGGTTTTTTGGGAGGGTCGATTTCTTTACAACGAAGACCATTTTCTAGAATTCTGTCTCATGAGACAGTCGTTTATCCTAGGAATTGCTTCCTGTCTTATTCCTAAACTTTTTCCTAGATTTGTTTCACAACAGCCCACGAGAGACAGGAGGCCCATGAATACTTAGCTCAGCATTGTTAACCAGCTGGGCTGGGGCTCAGTAACATGGACGCTGAGTAGTAGAATCATGTCAAATGATCCCTCTTTCCATTTACACAGGCTTTACCTTTCGAAATGTACTCTGAAACATTCATCTGCTTCCCCTCTTGGTTCAAGTCACTGGACTCCAGCTCTCTCCTCCTCGTGCCTGTGGCCTTAGCCTACATTCTTATCTTGAGCGACCAGATCTGACCCAGGTCTCCACTGGACCCCGCCTGCTTCCCAGAGCCGTTCTCAAAAGGAACTTTCTAAAAACAAATCTAGCCCAACTTCCCAACAGCTTCGGTGATGCTGTTACGTGTGTGTTTTGTTTGAAGACAGCTCAGTGTCTTCAAACACTGTGAATCTGAGGGCTTAGTCCTGCACCTCGGCGGGGTGGGGCCTGCTCCCGACTCTGTCGGCTGTTTCACCCATTGTGTTTCCCTTACCCTCAAGGCATCGGAGGGTGTGGTCCCTGACTGAAGAATAAAAACTCACACACTTATAATTTTCCCATCAGGGCACACAGTACGCCTGTAACTACACTTAGATTTGTGTGATTTTTTATTTTAATGCCCATGTCAGTCAGTGGGTTGTAAGTTCCTGAAGAAGGGGGACCACGTTTCCTAGTAACTAGCCTGGCACACAACAGTTGTTTAATAAGTATGTGCCGAATGAAGGACAGGGACATAATAGCCAACATGTAAGTAACCACATATAGCCTGCATCTACTCAGTTGGAACTGCTTCACATACACCGTCTGGTGTAACATTACAGCAACTCCGTGAGCGGGTGTCCTGTTAGCTGCCCTCTGACAGAGAGGGAGGCCGGGGAGTGGACTGAAGGTTATACAACGGAGAAATGCAGATCTGACTTCAAAGACCGTTTTTCCTACCCATGAAGCCATGCGGCTCCAGACAAATGAATGGATATAGTAATAGATTATCTACATTTTTTTCCTGGGCCATAAAGATTTGATTGAACACTGGTACCCACCTGCTTTCCTTCCTAGTCTTAATTCCTGCCCCTTCCCTCACAGATCGAAGACTCCAAGCATGCCGGCCTTCCGTCCCGGAAATCTCTCTCCCTCTCTCCCCATATGCAAAGAAATGCCCTGTCATGCTGCTTCTACCTCCGGCAGTTCTTGAATCCATCCCCTCCTCCACCGCCACAGCCCAGGGTACCAGCGAAGCACCCGACTCCCCCACCACAAGCCGCCCTGTCTCATCCTGCTCCCGTCGGTACATAGCGGCCGCAACAACCCTGTGAGCACCACAACTCTGACAACAACGCCCTCTTGCTTAAAAACCCCGATGGCCTGTATTCAACTTCCTAACTCTCAAGCCTGCAAGGCCCAGGAGCCCTGACCCCGTCTGGCTGTTCCTACAGCCAGCTACCCGCTCCTTGCTCTCCTCTCTCTCTCTCTCTCCATGCCAGCCACACCACCCTATTTCCAGTCCTCCCACCTGCCCACCCACCTGCAGTACTTTTCTCTGCCCTCCCCGCCCAGTCATCTGGCAGGGATGCCTCCACTGTTTCTTCCTTAGAGAAGGCTTCTCTGACCTCCCTCCTTGGCTCAGATACTCCTGGGACATGCTCTCGTGGCACCATGTACCGCCCTCTGCCAGCCACCAGCCACCGTTTCTTTTTGTGATTGCTTGAGGAACGCCTGCCTCCCTCAGGAGCCTCCAGGATGGCTGCTCCCCACCCCCATCTAGTTCACATCCCAGCACCTGACACTTAAGTACACACCCGTGGAAGGGCCCTCTTCTTGGTAAATCTGAAAAATGTCTGTTTATCTATCAAGGCAACTTAAACGTCAGCTCTGAACATGCCTGAGGATGCCCCCACCTCAATCCAACTTACAGGTACCTGCTCAGGTAGTTCAACTACCCGGGATGTCCAGGTGTCTGTTTCTCAAGGATACCACAGCCATGCATCTTACAAATGTATTGTAACCATTTCTTCACCTGCCTCTTTCCCCCGAGCAGGCCAAGATTTGCTATGGGATAGGCAATGTGTTTTATCTGCATCGTACTCTGGCAGCGACTATAATCTCTCTATAGTTTAGCTGAATGAACGCAAATATTCTCAATAACCTTTGAGATGGAGCGTCAAGACCTGAGCGTTTTGTTTGTAAATGGAGGAGGAAACTGAGTTTAGAGACTTTAAATGACTTACCCAAACCAAGGTCATAAAGCAGAGTTGGGTCTTAAACCCCAGTCTTCTGATTCCATGATCATGAAATATCCTGCGAAGTGTCTTTCCTATCCTTTTAAGTCTTCATTTATTTCTGTCCCTAGCTCTGTGACCTCAGGGAGGTCTAATATTCCTTATCCATAAAATGGGAATAAATATGACTTCACACTTCTGCAGTGAGAATTTCATAATATCACATTTACTAAAGATTTAGCACTGTGCCTAGAACCTCTATGATTTACCTTATTTTCTTGTAAGCTTTCTAGGAAAGAATATGTCCTATTTATCTTCTTCCCTTTTAGGCTCCAGGCCCAACATGGGGCTTGAACTCACGACCCTGAGATCAAGAGTCACCTGCTCTAGCGACTAAGGCAGCCAGGTGCCCCCTAAGTATGTCCTAGACTTCATGAGTAAGATTCAAAAGGAGAAAAGAAAAAAAAATGTTTCTAGTAGCCTGTATGTATGTCTGAATGCAACCTCCAAAGAGGACAGGAATACTTGGCCTGTAATTCAGTGACTCCCCCTCGGCCTGTCTGGATACTGTTACTAAGGCCCTGCATTTACAGGTTCACCTCAACTTCTGTATCATCCTGATGAAATCAGAGTTTAGCTCACCGACCAGGAGGTCTGAAAGTGATCTTGCTGACACAGGCTTTGTAATCCAATCTCTAGTAAAATGCCTGCAACTACGTCCAGCAGCTGCCATTCCAACCGTGTTTGCACACCCTGCCCCTGAGGAAGAGCTGAAAAGTACTATTTCTCCTTTATCAACGAGACGATTTCATTCTCATAATCCAGGAGTGCTGGTTTAATTTCAGCTTTTCTAAAAGCTAAAATATTATTTCCAGCCGATACTTATTGACAGCCACTAATTCTTCATAGCAAAGGAATTTCTCTGGTTGCTTAATGATACATTTTGGAATTAATGCTCTCTGGACATCTAAGCTGCTTGAAGTCACATGTTCTGAAAGAGCACTCCTGATTTCATTTCATGGGTTTTGTGGCTAAAGAGATGCTTTGAATTTCTTCCAGGCCTTCTTTTCCGTGGCTATGCTCTGTGAGGTAGGGTTAGGGACTGAGGCATAGTCCTTAAGGTGCTGAAACAGACTCAGAACTGGTTTGTAAGGATAGCTAAGACTGCTTCCACGAGAGGTGGGCTGGCCATTCACTCAGAGAGTTTGGGTTCATTCCCAAGGCTATTAACTGTCCACACCCAGGTATGATCCACTCACCCTCTGCCCATCTGAGCACGAGAGCCACCTGCTCCTAACTAGCAACAGAAAGCAGCTGTATGTCAGGTACCCGCCAGTGCCCCAAACCGTGAACTGCTCAATTTTCACTAACGACCATTACAGAACAAGATATTAATCAATAATAGTTAGCAAAGAACAGGTTTTCCAAAGTTTCCCCCAGATTGCTAGTTTCTCATGGACAGGCCAGAGAATCCACGGAGATTCTCTCTCAGGAATAAATGAAAATTACATGCAAGATTATCTTTCGGACAACTGTATGCCCATCACATGTCTGTGAACTCCTGAGACTCCCTGCAGCTCATTTAGCCATTCCCTGTGGCAGTGGGGCTCCACTACCCGGGGAGCTGTAAAAATAAAACAAAAACCATGATGCTGGGTGGGCCCCACCCCCTAGGATTCTGATTTTACTTCTTTCAGCTGGGGCCCAGGCCCCAGAATTTTTAAAAGCTTCCTGGATGAATCTGATATGCAGAAAGGATTTTAAGTTTTAAAGTTTTATTTATTCGGTTTTTATACTTTTGTGAGAAAACTGGCTCCCAAGGGCTCTTGAAAGTTAAAAATGAAGGAATTTCATGAGCTGGACAACCCACTGGTACCTTGAAATTGACCACGGAGGGTGTATTTATACCATGGAAGTGGGCGAACGCTAATAAATCAGGGTTTTGTGGGGATGTTGGGGGATAGTCTTTTTTTTTTTTTTTTTTTTTTTTTTTAAGTAGCACACCACTGATGGTGAACTCTAGTCTCAATGGATCTAAAACCTCTGGGTAAAGAACTTCTGCTCTAAGTATTCTAGTTCTTAGTCCTAGTAACAGAATAACAAAGCAAGGCTTCAGAGGGCTGAATATTTGACCGTGATACTGTCTTGTGCCCCTTTTAGCAAAACTGTTTCTAAGTTTTGTTTTGGCATTTTTCCTTCGGTTACATCAAGGAATGTTAATTTTTTTCAAAAATGAGCCTTATGAAACCCATTACTGCATATTTTATAGGCAGATTTTTGAAGACATCACTGTTCTTATGACCTTCCCAAGTCTCCAAATGAAGCCCCCATGAGAAATTTGTTTTAAAGTTAAGTATGAGGGGACTGTCCCCCACTCCCCAGCATTGCCCAGGGGAACCGGAAACTTCTCCCATCGTGGACCCTGAGCACCAACCACTGCTTATACTTTCCCTTCAGCTGTCCAAGTTTTGATCATACTTCAGCCTATGAAGGGTATTTCCTGGTCATGACATTCTATTTTAATTTCTATTTCTCGTGGTGCTGAGGGTTTGTATTTTACTATCTTAATGTGCGTTACTTCTTATAAGGCCTTGCAGTCCTTCGTGAAATGAGTCAAGGTTTATGAAGTGTGAACCCACTGACTCAGTCTGTGCCTCATCTGTGATTTGCAGACTCTGTTGCTGGGACCCAGGCGTGGCCGACACTGGAACGACGTAGAGAAATACAAACATACGTGCCTGGCTTCTATCCTCAGAGTCCCTGATCTCGTTGATCTAGGACTGCAGCCTTGGTGTCAGGCTTTCAAAAGTTCTTAAGTATTTCGAAAGTTCTCCATGCCTTTCTAACACGCAGCTGAATTTACCCACTTGAATTCCAGTTTTCCCAAGCTTAGAAAAGCTTAGTCCCGCAAGATGAGAGCCTGTCTCTTCCACAGACTTGAGCCCAAACAGAGCCCAAGCTTGCTTGCCCTGGGCGCTGTGGATTCAAATGGTGACCGACCGACAGCCTGCTCAGCACCCCTACCCCGCCACCTTCCTGTCCCCTTCCCCTCCAGCCTCAGACTGCGTCTGCCACAAGAAGAGGCAAAAACAGTTACCAATAAAATTGTGAAGTTTTCCAAAACACTGTTCATCATATATTTCTCTGGTAAGTGTTTGAGCTTGTGGATGAAGTTTATCATATATTCACACATCGGGGAGCGGTTTATTCGGTACACAAATCGGCCGTTCTCGAACCTTGCATACTCCGTCTGTGAGGGGAAAAAGGAATTGAGCATGTTTACACTTCTGATTCCAAAATACATGAAAAAGCTATTGCTGTCTGCAAAAGCATTTTTCCTTTTTAAACAGGAGTCATCTACTAGATGCTGTACTATTTACATAGTTTACTTAATTTAAAAGAAATCCTATGTCCAAACTTAACGGCATACTCAGAAATCCATTATTTTTCTGGAAACCTAAAAAAAAAGAGTGGAAACAGGATAGCTTTAAAGAGGGTTGTCTAGGTCAGAAAAAAAAGAAAGAAAAGGTCAGAAAGAAATATAATCACCTACTTAGTGATTTTCTGCCTGGAAATCTGGGGGAGCAAGGCCCAGCCAATTACAATTCTTTAGAGAGCCCAGAGAAAATCCTCCTCCACCATTATAAAAGTCTCACAGGCTAACGACCAATGCAGCTAATTTCTCTACCTCAGGAAAAACGACTTCACACTGATCACGAGCTCCTGACTGTGAGTTATTTATGTCTTTAATAAACAAGGAAAAGAAAGAAAATACTCGTATTGAAGATCCGACTGAAGCACTCAGAAATAAGAAACACCCCTAGATAGCCCTGGATCAAAGAAGAATTAAAAAGGAAATTACAAACTATCTCAAGAGTAATGAAAAGGAAAATACTTGACATCAAAACTTAGGGGACCTGATGGAGCTGTACTTGGAGGAAACTTAATGATGCAGCTTCATGAGTTCATCATTAAAGGTAAAAAATTACAGAACTAAACCATGTCTGAAATTTAAAACAACCCCCCCTCCCCAAAATAAACCCAAGTCACAAAGAAACCAAAGGAAACCAGGAATAGGAAATTAATAAAGATAAAAGCTCAAATCGATGTTAAGAGAAATAAAATATGTGGGCAGAATAAATTTAAAAACTGGTTCTTTAAAAAGTCAAAACAAAATCAAGCCTTCACAAGCTTAAGAGAGAAAAGAGACAAAACCACAATTACAGTAGAGATTGGAAGATCTGTAAAAGGTTACTTCACATAACTCTAAGGCAAAAAAGCCTAGAGGAGAGGATGATTTCCCAGCAAAGTATGAATTACTAATACTGACCATGAAGGAGAAAACTCTAGTAGGTCCATTACAGTAGAAATGACCAAAAAATTTTTCAGAGACTCACCACAAAAAAGGTACAAAGACCAAATTGTTTCATCGCTGAGTTTTATGCAACTCTAGAAGAATAATTACTCTCACTGTTACGCAAACGACGCCAGACCATAGGAAAAGGCAGGTGTCTCAATTCTTTTTATGAAATTGATGGACATAAAGAGATTAGAGAAAGGAACAGACTAATATCACTTAGGAGATGCAAAAATCTTACGTAGAACAGCGAAGAGAATACATCACTTTGTCCAAAGCAGGACTTTCTTCAGGAATGAACTCGTGATGCCCACGAATTGGGAGAAAAATCATACTAAGAGATGCTGAAAAGGCATTTGATAAAATATCGGAGCTGTTACTAACAAAAATCCTAGGTACAATGGGAATAGAAAGAAAGCACTTAAATATAAAATAAAGACCATTTATAAAATCCAACAGTAAGTATATATAACCCGAAATGGCAAAACTCCAAAGCCAACTCTATGGGCAGCAGTTACTACTCATCATCCTACTTTTTTTCATGACAGTGTTGGAGGTTTTAGCAAATGGAAAGAGGTGAGAAAATAACCAAAATAGAAAAGGTGGCAAAAACATTGGAAAAGAAGAGATAAAATAAAGCCTTTTCTTTTTGCTGGTACTATAAAACCATATACATAAAAAAATCTAAGAATCTAGGGGGAAAAGCCACTGGAGATAAATAAGAGAATGTGGCAAGTTGGCCAGATAAAACAAATATAAGCAAAACCCAAGAGCTTTCCTCTCTTCTAGTAATTAAAATCTAGAAATGGGAAATTGCATTAACGAATTACATAATATTTAGAAGTATATTTAACAAAAAAGGGATAAACCTGTATGTGAAAACTACAAAATCTTATTAAGATGGAAATGCAAACAGGTTCTCAGTTGGAAAGATTTAGTATTGGTAATGTATCGATTTATCTCAAAATAATGTCTAAATCTAGTACAATTCCAACTAGATTGATCAAGCGAGGATTTTGGTTTTATTTTTTTTTAAGTTATCTCCTTTTTTGGAAGAATAAATGCTGTTTACTAGCCTAGAAAATATATGGAAAACAACAGCCAGATTGACTTGCGTCAGCAGAAGTAAGAATGTGCTATAAAAGCCACTGTAATCAAATCAACATGGGATTGGGACATGTCAAGATAAACAGAGGGGGGAATCAGAGAGACTCCAGGAATGGCTCCCAGAATATGCAGTAACTGAAAGGAGACAGATCTCAGATCTACTCAGTGGGAAAAGGATGAATCATTTAATAAATGGTTTTGACACAAACGCCTGTGTATCTGGAAGAAAACAGGAGCGGACTCCCAATTCACACCAAATGCAGAAGTAGTACATTCTAAGTGAATTAAAAACTTAATTATAAAACTCCACCTGCCACACTCACACTACCTTATCCATGAAAATTCCTGGGACTTCATCAATCAAAGGCAACCTTTTCCCGCTCCTTGAACTTACAGAAGGCTTTTGGTATGTTACTGGAGGACATGACGAAAAAAAGAGTTTGGAATCTGGGAAACTGTTTTGGTGTGTTACTAGAGGACATGACGAAAAAAAGAGTTTGGAATCTGGGAAACTGAGTAACTTGCCCGGTTCGTCTCATCCAGGCAGGAGGTCCAGCTCTGGTGAGCCCTGACAATGTGGCTACTCAGCAGCCATGCCTACCAGGAACATTCCACATTCCCAGCCACTGACAGGTAACTGTGCTCCCTCCCTCTCCGAGAATTTGGGAGGTGATCTGGGCTGTAGGCCTCCCAGGCCCATCTCGTAACAAGGCCACCTTCTCACCTACCCTCTCCTTGGGCTTCCCAGACATGCGTTGAGCTGGCTCCCCTCCTCTCACATCCATTTTTGTCCTCTGCTGGTGTCTCCCTTCTACTCACCCCAGGGCTGTGTACTGCTTCCCCAATTTAAACCCTTATTCCTGTGCTGTTGCTACTCTCTCTCTGCACCTAGTTCTCCATTCCCATAGCTTTAATGATCCTTAATGTTAAGGATTCCTGATCGGTAGTCTCAGTCTTTACCCGTCCTCCAAATTCTCGTCTTGCACCCAGAATCATCCCCTGACTGTGTGCTCTTGAGCACCTTCCTTCCTTTTCTCTGTTGGTGGCAGCACTGTCCTTGCAAACACAAAACGTGTGACCTCTGACTCTTCCTCCTCATGGGTTTTTAATATCCAGTGAGTTTCTAAGTTCCATTCAAAATGTCTTACTGGGGGCGCCTGGGTGGCTCAGTTGGTTAAGCGACTGCCTTCGGCTCAGGTCATGATCCTGGAGTCCCGGGATCGAGTCCCACATCGGGATCCCTGCTCAGCGGGGGGTCTGCTTCTCCCTCTGACCCTCCCCCCTCTCATGCTCTCTCTCTCTATCTCATTCTCTCTCTCAAATAAATAAATAAAATCTTTTAAATTAAAAAAAAAAAAAAAAAGTCTTACTGGATGCCCCCTGCTACCGTTTCAGTGAAGCTCAGGATGCCTAAGCTCCTGTCGACCATCTAGTCCACCCTCTTCTGTCCTCTCTGGCTAGCGTCACCTCCTCAACACCATTCTCGGGAGGCCCAGCCTGTGCTCAGGAAGCTACAAGGGCCTCCAGCACCCCCGGGCCTCACTGTTCAGCCCCAAGTCTTAAAATCCACACACTCGCTCTCGCCCTCCTCCCTCCTCCCCAGCCCCTCCTCTCTCTCTCTCTCTCTCTCTCTCTCTCTCTCGCTGCGGCACCAAGTCTGCCACACTCAGGCTAGGCTCTGGGACCTGCAAGCTCTAGGACCACCGTGAACCAGAGCTGCTCACTGAACACAGATTGACTAGAGGATGGGCAGAAGACACTGGAAAATTCAACTTACATGGAAAGTTAACTGCAAAACATTATTCACACCAAGCAACCCACCCTGGTAAAAAGAACATGCGTTTTTTGACAGGGATTGAGGCCATGAAATATAAAAACTATGTATAGGTATTTGACCCCAGTATGTGCTGTCATCTGTTTAAAAGGATTAAAGGAGTGGAAATGGCAAAAGTACCACCACCATTTGAGGTGTCAGGTTTTACAGAAGGCAGGTGCCAATCAGCTGAATCCCACCTCGGCTGTTCTCTACAACGCCTGCAAGTGCCCTTGGACCTGGGGGTGGGGAGGGCACCATCCGGTGGGTGGCAGGGTCTGTGTGTACCCGCTTCCACAGCGGGCACCCCCATGACACCTTGGGCCAGACTGAACGCTGCTGGCCGCACAAGGCAGGGAGACCAGTCAGGGAAGCCTGGCATGGGGCTTCCTCCCTGCCTTCTTCCAGTCGCTTTCAGACCATTCTGTCGTCTCAAAAGTAACAGGGGAAAGCGGTGGGACAAAGGGAGAGGAGGAGATGCCAAAAAGGTAAAACTCTCCACCCCCATATAAAGTCGAAAGGAAGGCGACAGTCTGCCCCTGAATGAGGACTTCGGGGGACAGAGGCCTACTTACCTCTACTTTTTCTACTACTTGCTTCCCAAATGAGCATACTTTGGTGGAACAGGTGACTGTCATATTTTCAGAACTCTCATACTGACTGGTTACACCGTAAAAAGCCCCGGCATCGTCCTGAATACTGCAGTTTAGGTCGGCCTGTTGGGAAGGAAACGGAGGTGGGGGTTATCCTCTTGTGGCCGGAGTCATGGCAGTGACCGACCGGTGAGCGGCAGGCTAGGACGTCCGACCGCTCAGGCCGGGGGGAGGGCAGGCGTGGCTCGAGGAGGCGGTGAGGTGATGCTCATCCAGAAACAAGTTCCATGGCCCACGGGTCACTTTCTGAAGAGCACGCTAACTCCAGCAGTCTCCCCTTGAACAATGGCAATGTGATGCACACCTACTTCAGTTTGCTTTCTTGTGTTCAGTATAGAATACTACTGTACCCTTGTTAGAAAAGATCCGTGAGGCCTCTGCAATGTGTGCAGAAAGCAGTATATGAATGGGGTTCATAGTCACTAATCTGTAGATATATTTCAAGATTATTTATTTATTTGAGAGAGAGAGGAGAGTGGAGGGAGGGGGAGAGGGAGAGGGAGAGAATCTCAAGCAGACTCCGCGATGAGCGCAGAGCCTGACGTGGGGCTCTGTCCCACGACCCTGAGATCACAACCTGAGCCGAAATCAGGAGTCAGTCGCTAAACCGACTGAGCCACCCAGGCGCCCTAATCTGTAGATATACTTAAAAGAACGGGAGATCTAGAGCTGACTGGCCATTTGTTATAGATGTAAAAACAAACTTTTCATTACAAATTGCAGCATCCAGAAGGGAAATGGTTCCTAGTAAAGACTGGCTTATAGGGGCACCTGGGTGGCTCAGTTGTTAAGCGGCTGCCTTCGGCTCAGGTCATGATTCCAGGTCCTGGGATTGAGCCCCGCATCGGGCTCCCTGCTCGGCGGGAAGCCTGCTTCTCTCTCTCCCACTCCCACTGCTTGTATTCCCGCTCTCACTGTGTCTCTCTCTGTCAAAAAAAAAAAAAAAAAAAAAGACTGGCTTATAAAGATGCTAAATAATTCATATTTCCCACTCATTTAAGGTATCTGATGATTACCTACTATGTGAGGTTCATGCTAAACACTATATAGGACTACAAACGGGAGCTATGTACCTAAAATAGCGATAACAGAGATAGAAACAGTACCACGTCAAAGGTATTCAGAGTCCAGACAATGGAAGGCATGCTTTTAGCCAGAGGTATTACTTACGGGATGGTTACGATGTGCAGAGATGGGCTGAGGGGACCCTGGGGGGAGAAGGGGCCTCAGGTGCCTCCTTCCAGCGGCAGCGCAAGGACTGAGGCCACTGGGAAAAGTGTGTTTGGAAATGCAGCCCGGACCCAGGTTGTGGAGGGCTGGAAAAGGGGTGTGGATTGCATGCTGCAGGAAATGGGGACTCTCGGGAAGTTATGGCACAAGGAGGTGAGGTGATAGGAGTTGTGTTTCAGAGGTGGAGGTCTCAATGTGGGATAGCGTCCACTGCAGAGGGAGGCTGGGAGGCCACGGCAGTGGCCGGACCCCTGATGGATGGCTCCCTCCTCTCCAACACCTACCAACCTGCTCTCGCACACCAGGCACTGGGTGTGGAGCCCGGGGTCAGAGTGAGCAAGACTTGGGCCAGTCCCTATTGCCATGAGCTCGCAATTGAGTAGGAAGGACATCACCATAGGGATGAGCACTCCTGAAAGAGGCAGAAAGGGCCATGAGAACCAACCTTGGGGTCGGGGAAGCTTTTAAGGATGAGGCAGCTCAGATCCAAAGGAAGGAGCACTGTCTGAGGCAGGTGGACGTGCCCTGAGTGTGTATAAAGGGCACAGAACCAGAAACGAGGCCAAGAAAAGGCTGGGATCAGGGGAGCAGGTGAGAGAGGGTGGCAGGAGAGGCAGGAGGGTTTGGGTCTCATATCCTAAAACCAAGGCATAGATCTGCATTCCTAAGACGCACCGTGAGCACAGCCTGGAGATGACTCTGGAAGAGCTCACAGGCAGACAGGTCAGGAGGTCAAGAGAGCAGTCCAGACAAGGGCCAGTGTCTGTATCGCCGTGGGGACTGGAGAGGGACAGGGGGACCTGCCACACGATCGAGGCCACAGTTTGTGAGGTCTGGCACATTCTGACCAGCTGATCTTAAAACCTTGATGTGCACTAGCCACTAGGAAGACCTGAGTCATCCTATATATATTTTTAATAAGGATCTGCATTTGAATTTCCTTCTTGAATCGAGTATCAAGAAAACGTCCCTTTTCTGAGGCAAAACTTCCCACTTTCTGGCTTCAAATAAAAAGAACCATAGGCTTGGGCGCCTGGGTGGCTCAGCTGGTTAAGCGACTGCCTTCCGCTCAGAAGGAGTCCCTGGATCGAGTCCCGCATCGGGCTCCCTGCTCGGCAGGGAGTCTGCTTCTCCCTCTGACCCTCCCCCCTCTCATGTGCTTGCTCTCTCTCATTCTCTCTCTCTCAAATAAATAAAATCTTAAAAAAGAACCATAGGCTTTATATTCCCCCTTTGCCAAGAAATTCAAAGCTAAATTCAGTGCTCAACTACAGTAATTACCTATCCCAGGTACTTCTAATAGCTACTAACAACCGGTGTACAGCTCCTTCTACTGGATTACAATCTGCTTTTACTTGTCCTTGTCCACTTTTATATTGGGTAGTAACACTCCCTCACATTTTGCTTTTTGGAATTTTATGGGGCACCCATTGTAAATAAATAAAAATACCTAGGTGTACGTTCTTCTCACATTTGAAGGTTTGATGTCTGCTCTGTGAAGAGCAGGGCAGCAAGAAACGATGATGTCTGAGCCTGACTGTGATCTGCACCTGACCTCCTGGGGGTCTACTGAGCTCCAGCTGCCAGAGGTTACCCATGTGTCCTCCGTGCACAGGAATTCTGGACTCTGACCCCGCATTATGTCCAGCTTTCCAGGGCAGCCACCACCTGGCGTGCACTCAAAGTGGACCTCCAAGGGGCACCTGGGTGGCTCAGTCAGTTAAGCATCCGACTCTTGGTTTCGGCTCAGGTGGTGATCTCAGGGTCGTGGGACTGAGACCCGTGTTGGGCTCCGTACTCAGTGTTGAGTCTGCTTAAAATTCTTTCTCTCCTCTCCCTTTGTGCCTTGCCCCGTGTTTGCTCTCTCTCAAATAAATCTTAAAAAAAAAAAAAAAAAAAAAAAAGTGGGCTTTCAAGAACCACTGCTTTGTTCTGCCACCAGCCAAGAACACGTGGCTCTGAGAAGCAGCTCAGGTACTTTTCGGTGGTGAGATTTATGCTCTCATAATGGTGGTATAGCTTGTGCCAACAAGTTTTTGTTTTTTTGTTTTTTTGTTTTTTTTAAACTAAAAACACACATGTGGTAAGTAAAAAAAAAAAAAAAAAAAATCAAACTGGAAAAAGAGTATGCATTTTATTTCTACCCCTGAACTTGCTAACCTCCCTACTGGTGACCCATGTTTACTGTTTCTCAAGTGCCCTTTTGGAGATAGTTAGCACTTAGATACACAAGCATCTACATCCCCTCTTTTTTTTTTTTTTTTTTTTAAGATTTTATTTATTTATTTGAGACAGAGAGAATGAGAGGGGGGAGGGTCAGAGGGAGAAGCAGACTCCCCGCCGAGCAGGGAGCCCGATGCGGGACTCGATCCCAGGACCCCGGGATCATGACCTGAGCCGAAGGCAGTCGCTTAACCAACTGAGCCACCCAGGCGCCCCTACATCCCCTCTTTTTTGCACAAAAAGTGGCACTCTTCGAAACCTTGCTTTAAAATATATAGATACTATATAGACTATATTTAGATATAGAGATATAGATATATAGCTACATCCTAGAACTCATATTGTACTGATATGGAGTATCAGTTTTGAAAAGAACAGCCATTTAAAAACTTAGGTAGTCCCACATTTTAGTGGCTGCATGCTATTCCATGACACAGATGCACCCTAATAATTACCATGTGCTCTACTGATGAACATTTCGGTGCTTCCCAACATGGATGCAATAATGAGTTTAGGTGCAGCAGGAAAGGTGCATTAGGGTCCTGGGATTGAGCCCTGCATCGGGCTCCCTGCTCAGCGGGAAGCCTGCTTCTCCCTCTCCCACTCCCCCTGCTTGTGTTCCCTCTCTCGCTGTCTCTCTCTGTCAATTAAATAAATAAAATCTTTAAAAAAAAATACTTCTACTTTTCCTTTTTCTCAACTTTAAAAAGTTTCCAGCTTTGAAAGGGTTTTAATGGGCTATAAATAAACGGAGAGTGAATATTTTAACAAACTCATTATTTTTGATACATCCAAGTTGTTTTGAAAGCCTGGTGAACATTTAAAAGTAGTCTGGTGTTGGACGCCGTGGCGCCGCCCGCCGCTGCGCGCTGGTGATGGGTATTGAGGAGGGCACGTTCTGCATGGAGCACTGGGTGTTATGCACAAACAATGAATCATGGAACACTTCATCTAAAACTAATGATGTAATGTATGGGGATTAACATAACAATAAAAAAATTAAAAAAAAAAAGCAGTCTGGTGTTTCTGGTGTGAGTGGGGCGGGAAGGAGCATGGGGGGGGGCGGGGGGAGTCAGGGGGAGAGGCAACAGAACAGGCTACTTCTTTTAAACCACCGACCTCCACTTATGTCAGTGATATAACCAGGAGGGAGGTTTCTTCAGAACGGCACCTCAGGTCCCTAGGCACAATGCTTTCTTGTTTGCCCTTTTTTCAAATGCTCCATTTTTTCCTTTATTCAGTTCGGTGACATTAACAACGTAAACTAACTCGGACACTTAAACCCCGAAGCAAGCACAGAAGTGAACAGACAAGATCATCCGTCCCTATACACAATCAGAAAATGTTAATGAAGCTTAGAATGGTATTTGCCGTCATGGGATGTTAGCACAATTGCTGGAAATGTCCACAGCCTCTGCGCTCCTGTCTCTCTGAGTCTCCGTGCTTAAGTGATGCTGGTGAAAAGCCCCTGTCCCGCTTCGGCAGCACACTGCGTAGACACCACTGGACCGGATTCATTTTTAAGACCCTCTTTTCTTTATTTGGCAAAATTATTTCAAGAATAACCAGCGCTCTGTTTCACGGTTTTAAACATTAAACACAAAAACTCC